TTCTTTGTACACACACACACACACACACTCACATTCCTTTTGCTTTTTGTTATCATTTCTTTCATTATTGCACTAAAGGAGAATACCATAGTCTACATAATGGTAGTATTTGTGCAAGGCTATTTAACAACATCCATGGTGTTTATAAAGTGCAAATCAAATTATCACACTTATTTCATTTCCCTTAAAGTCCTCTTGAACTTCACGAGCTGACATTTTTCTTCTGGCCTGTGTACAGCTCACCAACCAAGAGTCTTCCCTTCCCATCCTGGTCCCCAGCTGCACTCAACCCTTCTATGTCATTTGCCTCTCCAAGGCTTGGCTCAGTCTGCACAGACACCTGAGTCATTCCCATTTGCATCAGTGGCAGACTTCCAAACCACCTCCATGTTCTAAGGCACAGCCCTCAGCTGCATATCTGCCTCTGGTCCTCTGAATGCTCCTGTCAGGGAATCCAGTATACCAACGGCCAATTTGCCAGAAGCCAACTTGACAAAGAACCTATTTGCTGATCAACCATTTTGGTGAATTGATTAAGTTTCATTGTGTATCAAAATTTTAACACAATTATTATAACCTCACAGTGTTCAATCACAGTCCACACTAACCAGCAAAGATCAATATGGTCACGGGCACCCTTGATTAGGGACTCCATTCTTGTCTCCTGTGTCTCAGAATCTATAGTGATTGTCCCTCTACATACATTTCTGCTTTCTCTGTCTGTGTCCAGACACTATATGAGGTCTCCTCTTCTCTCTGTCCCCTGCTCTCTCTGTCCCCTGCTCTGCTCTCTGGGTCCATCTCTGTAGACCAGTAGGCTAGGCTCCATATTTTGTCAATATCTCCTCCTCAACAAAAGGCCCCCCTGAAGAAGATCCTGCTGTTCTCACCCAGAGCCTTCCTGTTGTGGAAACAGGACCAGAACAAAGATAAGCAGCCCATTTATTTAATGGTTCCATAAGGACAAAATGAGAGCCAACTAAATAAATCGCTGAGTCTCCAAAGAGCTATTAAAAGCTTTCCTCCAGGACTGTAGAGATTGCTCAATGAGGGCATTTGCTGCTCTTGCAAAGGACCCAAGTTCAGTTTTCAGCATCTGTATCAGGTCGTTCATACTGCATATAACTTAAGTACCTAGGAATTCTGTACCCCTGACCTCCTCTGGTACCTATACTGACATGCACACATACATGTGCATGAACACACACACATTATTTAAAATAAAAATCTTTGAAAAAGTTCCCACACAAAGTCAATTCCTCTAGGCTTTTTGAACACAGAAAAGAAGCAAACTTTGGTTAATTGATAAGAGTGAGAAGTCTGTGGTGGCGATGATAGTTGCGATGTGAAACTAGGACAAAAATTCCAGCAAAGCCAAAATGTCAGGAAAACAGTATCCTATGCTGGCTAGTTTTATGTCGCCTTGACAGAGTCTAGAGTCTGAAAGAAGGGAGCCTCAATTGAGAAAATGCCTCCATAAGATTCTGCCATAGGCAAGCTTGTAGGACATTTTCTTAATTAGTAATTGATGGGGAAGGGCCCAGCACATGGTGGATAGTGTCATCCCTGGGATGATGATCCTGAGTTCTGTAAAAGCAGTCTGAGAAAGCCATAATGAGCAAGCCAGTAAGCAGCACCCCTCCATGGCCTCTGCATCAGCTCCTGCCTCCAGGTTCTTGCCCTGTGTGAGTTCCCGTCCTGGCCTCCTCCAGTGATGGACTATGATATGGAAGTGTTTCCTCCCCGACTTGCTCATGATGTTTTATCACAGATAGTAACCCTAACTAAGACTAGCTGAATTCCCAAAAAGGATTTGAGAATAAATCAGTATAAACTAAACAAGCCCCACCGGAAATGTGAAATTGTCTTTACATCTCTTAGAATGATTTATTTATACACATACACATGAATATGCCTATTAGAATATATTTATAAAGGGACTCAGAAGCCCAGCCTTTTAAAAAAATATCAAGCAGTCTTACTGCTGAGTAAAACATCTTCATGACAATCAACTTCATGATGAAAGACATTAAAATGTTCCATTAACACACAGGGAAGAAAAATATCTCCATATCCACTTACCACATTAAAATTAATTCTGCCTAAACCAGTCTTTGTGAAAGATGCAGGCTGGTAAAGTAGGTAGGTTCTCTTCACAGTGTGAACTGGCTTTGGGTTTCCTGTGCTTCAGTAATTGACCCTAGGGTAAGCTGGCCTTCAGGGACCTGCTTGCTTCCCTTCTGGACTGTCCAATCAGCATTATCACCAGGTGTGCAGTGATGTCTCACTGCTGTCCAGGTAGACTGTGTCATCTACATTATCCATCTCCAGAATTATAAGCTGAGCTTTGACATGAAATTTCCAAAAAATTATGTAGACACTGAGGTTGAAATGTTTTAAAGTGTGCTGACTATTGCTTGGGGGCAAAACAAAGCTTTACTGGAAGACTGAAAATCTGTTTGCAAAGCCTTGCTTTTTAGATTTACTTATTTTTATGTATGGGTGTTTTGCCTTCCTGTATATCTGTGCATCGTGTGCATGCCCAGTGTCTGCAGAGGCCAGAAAAGGGCATCAGCTCCTCTGGAACTGGAGTTGTAGATGTGGTTTCTGGGAGCTGCACCAGGTCCTTTGTAATAGCAGCATTGCTCTCAGCCACTGAGCCATCTATCCAGCCCAAAGACTTTTTAAGTCCATGTTTGTTTGTTTGTTTGTTTGTTTGTTTGTTTGTTGCACACATGCCTTCATGTGGAGGTCAGAAGATAACTTACAGGAGTCACTTCTCTCCTTCTATGTGGGACCCAAGAAAAATCTCAGGTTATTGGGCTTAGGTGCAAGCAGTCTCAAATCCTGAACTATCTCACCAGCCCCCTCCAAAGACTTCCGTTGTCCTGTAGATTCAGCAGTAACTTCCACGCTCCAAAAAGATGCGGACAGAAAAGAGTTGGGCCTTCCCACTCTTCACGCTTCCCCACCATACCCAGCAGCACTACAGCACACAGCTCAGCTGCCTCCTCATCCTCTCTATGTTTGATTAGCCACTGCATCCCAAGGGGTCATCTCCTGGACATGTCTCCACGTGTTGCCTCCTCTCTCTTTATCCCATCTTCAGCCAGGCTGCAGCCCTCATGATCCTCTGCCAACACTACTGGACCATCTCCCAATTCCTCCTCCTTCTTCCCTCCTGATTTAAGACTTTGCTTGTTTCTAATCTCCACACTGCAGGCACAGCAAATCACTCTGAAACTCAGTTCTGGCCACATCACCAGATGACAGCGTCTCTTTAATTACAGGAGGAAGGCTACTCTGGAGAATGATTTCCAAAACCTTCATGACACCACATTTCTCATCTGCCTGCCCAATTGCTGTGGTGTGTGACCTCCTAAGGCCATTAGCATAGTCTTCCGGGTACTTGTTATGCAACTCCAAGTCCTACACCTTTGCTACTGTGATCCCTCCGTCCAAACATCACCAGTTCTATGTCCCATTTACCTAAAAGCAATCAACCTTGAAAGTTCTGTTCAAGACATCACTCTTCCTGGAAGCCTTTCCTAACTTATACTGACTTCCTGTCCCAGTCCCTCAAGCTGGGGAAATTGCCAATACACTGAGTTGATCCACAAGGGAACTCCCAGTCTCAATCAGCATCAATTTTCATGTCTTTCCTCTTATCTAACAGGGACCATGCTCCCAACACACAAAGTTACAGCACTCACAATACATGTGTGGATCAACCTCCTAGTTGGGATCTCATTCTTCCACCATATTAACATTCCTTCATTTATTCATTAACTCAATAGCCATTTATTGGTGGATTTTATAACCGTGTCCCACCCACTCAAGAATTTCATTTTGCTGTGTAATATTCTGATTTCCTAGACACCTACAAGCTATGTGGAAACCTCCATTTTGTCTTTTACTTTCCCATTCTAGAGCTTACAAAGAACATTTATTTTCCAAATATGTTTTGAGATGACTCAGTTGGATCATTTTATGTGTTTCTTATTCCAGCAGCAACTGATAGCACCCATTCTATTTTATGGCAGACTGGCATATTCGACGCTGTGTGGCAGCCTAATAGTCTAGAACGGCACAGATCATCCTTGCTGCTTTCCATCTGCAGAACGCAGATCTCAATGGCAGCCATCAGAGTTAAATACATGTTGATAAATGATATTAGCCAAGTAACAACAGGTTATTATTTTCCTGTGGGTTTTTGAAGCCACTCAGCCTCAGCCTTTCTTCCTGCTTCAGAAGTCTGCCCGCCCACTGCTTTTCACAGCTAATGGACACCAGTTTGTTCTTCAAGTTCACACAAGGTCAAGTTTAAAGATCTTTGATGTACATCCTACACTTTCCAAAGAAATCTCAAAAATGAATCATAGAACTGAGAGTGCAGGTAGTTACCAGTCTATGGAAGGCTTTTGTGGGGCAGCCATGTAGTCTAAAGGCCCCAGGCTTGATCTGGGAAATCATGAGAAAGTGTCATTCTAGCAGGCCTCTGGTGACAAGAATAAACAGAAAAAAGTGATATGTACACACACACACACACACACACACACAAGCACAGACATGTAAATTCAGAAATTATATATCAGCAATGATCAATTTCATTAATATGAAGTCAACAAATCCAAGGCATTTTTGAGGGATGAAAGAATTGTTGCCTTTCTTAGAACTGGACAGAGAAAAATTACTTTACAGTTAGACATGAATCCCCAAAATACAGAATTAGGGATCATTTCTGCTCAGAGATGGTACACGTGTGTATGTATGTGCTCTCTTCTTTCCATGCATATAGGGTGTGTGTGTGTGTGTGTGTGTGTGTGTGCGTGATGTGTTGGAAGCCACGGCTTGTACTGAGATTCAACTCCACTCAGGTGTGTTTGCAGCATTTCTATAGGTCTTTCACCTTAGGAAGGCATGGCAGGAAGGCAGCCCCATTGAGGGACATGCAGTATAACTGTGAGTCTCATGTAAGACTGTATTATTTTTAACTTCAGAAATATTTACCAGAAAATCAGGGACCATGACCTCCTGGACAAGAGGAAAACTGTGACAGCACTGAAGGCTGGAGAGGACCGGGCTATCCTTCTAGGGCTGACCATGATGGTGTGCTCCATCATGATGTACTTCCTGCTGGGAATCACACTGCTGCGCTCTTACATGCAGAGGTAATACCATGGGCACCGAGGAATCAGCCGCCCCCCCTTCTCGGCTCCCCCATTGCCTTTTCAACTCTGACGTAATCTTTCTCACCTTTCCTCACAGTGTTTCCTAATGTTATCTGGTAATAGTGTAGACTATGTGTAAACTGCCTACTGTGAGCTGGCCACTTTTCATATATTGCTCACGTCTTTCTCACTACTCCATAAGGTAAGTGTAGACATACCCAGCAACTCAGAGACACAGATGATGTGACACAGGGACTTGAGAGATGGTTTCCCATTACAAGCTTGCTGCACACTCATAAGATCTGTAGTTCCAAACCTAGAACGCACAGAAAAATCCAGGCATGGTGGCATGTCCTTTCAATGCCGGCACTGGAGAGGTGGAGACAGGCAATCTCTGAAGCTTAAGTGCTGAGCACCACCCATTAGGAGACCCTGTCTCAAAAAATAGAACAACAATGTGGATGACATCTGAGAAATGATATCTGAGATCATCCTCTGGCCTCAGCAAACACACACAGACATATACCCACATGAACATATGCATGTCATACACATGTACCTGCACACACATACATACATGCAAATGTACAAATGCAAGTGTATCTGCACACACACACACACAGACACACATATACAAACATGAATGTGCACACATGCATGCAAATCCACACAAGTGCACATGCACACACACAATGTCACACAGTTCAGTGCAACACAGCACAAACATGTGGCAGTTATGATATCAAAGCCACATCCCACAAATTCAAGAGTCTGTCATTGCTTCTCTTACCCACCCTAATTCTCCATCACCCAGCTTCCTTGGGAACTTTCATATGTCCAAGCCAAAGAAGGTTGGAATTAAGTGGTTTGAAGGCAGAACCAGCGCTCGGTATTCTGAAACTGTCTAAGTGATTCTAAACTGTTGTGAAGCTTGAGAGGCTGACCGTAATCTCTTAAAGCAACAGATTGTGAATCCTTTTCACTTCAATGTTTGCCTTGGGTTTACTGAGCAAGGAGATGTCCTGAGGTGATGATACAAAAGCATGTCCTCCTGCAAAAGCCAGCTGATGAATCCCAGCAGTGTCCCTCCCTCACAGCCATCCACACACTGAACCCTGAAACTTGCATATGAAAGTGGAAAGTTTCAATCCAAGAGAAAATCAAACCATTTTGTGCCACTTGTTTCTCTAGCTGAATTAACGCTTTCATTTTAGAAGCGTTAGTTTAGAAGTGGAGTTGAAAGGTAGCAATTTGCTCCTCTTTCACGTCCTGGTTAGCCTGCTCTTTTTCTGATGGTCTTCAGCTGTCCTCTCTTCCGCAGTGAAAGTGCTTGTGTTTCAGGCCATGAGTGTTTCCCAAGTCCAAGGCCTCTTTCAGATTCTCACACCTGCTTTGAACTATCTAGGATATGTACCCCTCACCCTCTGGTTGTAAAAGCAGATTCTGACCATTCATGTGCCAGAAAATTCAATCAGCTACACCAGAGGAGACCAAGACTAGTCATCTGGCACATGCAAAAGTACAGGAGCTATCCACGTGTGTCCAGCAAAAGGGCAGGGTTGTTATTCCTTGTGAACACGTGTTTTCTACTCACTGCAATATAGCTTATATCCAGAGGCAAAGCATCGATTGCTGCTATGTTACTTCCTAATTGCAAATGCTCAACTTGATCACAAAATGAAAGTTAGGTAAAATGAAATTCAACCAGTGGTTAGTTGGAACTCTCTGGCTGAAATGGCCCAGAGCAACCTGGTGGAGCCCTTTATCTGCACTGAAGGGTTTGCCTTCTGTTGATTTCCTGGAGAGGCACACCATGACAGAATAAAGCACAGCCTTAGAGAGGGGGACAGTCACAGTTTCTGTCGCTTACCAACTGTGTGCTCTTGACTATGGCACCTGATTTCTGAGGCCCTCAATTCACTCATCTCTCAAAGGGATTAATAACCGGTATATCGGGTTGCTAAGAGAATAAAAGGAAATAATTTGTGTAAATTGCCAGCTAGGGAGAAAGGTTATAAGCAGCCATGGCTCTTGACATCTTCAAAAGGCTATTGTTATCTTATTCCCCATGTTAGGATGAGTTCATTGCACCACACTGCTCTCCCTCTATCTTGCCAAGTCCAACCCTGTGCCACTCAGTCTTTTAGTCACTTTTCCCCAGCCCCTCCCTTAATAAAGCCTTTATACCTTCAAACCAGGCTGAGGTGGAGTTTGCAATGAGAAAGACTGAGCAAGCTGTGCAATGCAGAAATACAGAGAGAGTAAGGGCTATGCTAGACGGGTGATAAACACCTGTCATCCCTCCCTCAGGAGGCTGAGGCAACTGAACTGCAATCCTGATGCTAGTCCAGGCTACAGAGCAAGTCTGAGGCCATTCTTTCCTATGTGGTGAGACCCTGTCTCAAGAAATAAAAACTAAAAATAGAGCATGTGCTATGCTTACCAGTGAACTCAATAAGGAGAAAATAGTCACTTGAAATATTAGTGAATTGTCTATACGGTGAATGTCACCAAGAAAGTCCTCAGCCCCCAAAGTTTTGCTGTGTCACGGCATGCCAAAAGCTAGTCTGTTCAAAGTCACAAACTTTACACAGACAAAAGGATCATAGATTTGGGGGAGACTGATGCAGTTCGGTAGTCAAGAGATAGTCCTCCCCAACCACCCTTTCCTGCCCAGTAGACCCACCACATGCTCATCCTCGCTCCTTCTCTGCAGTGTGTGGACAGAAGAAGCCCAATGCACTCTGCTGAACGTGTCCATCACAGAAACATTCAACTGTTCCTTCAGCTGTGGGCCTGACTGCTGGAAGCTCTCTCAGTACCCTTGCCTACAGGTGTACGTGAATCTGAGTTCTTCCGGGGAGAAGCTCCTCCTCTACCACACCGAAGAGACCATGAAAATCAATCAAAAGGTACGAACTCTGCTCACTGCCCTCCGGTGCCCACAAAACCTACCTGCCTCCCCTCTCACTTCCCCTTTGTGAGTATTACAAAGGAAACACACCAGAACTGGGCTCTGCTTGTGCCATTCACAGAACTCATTCTCTGAATCTGCCTGGGGAAAGGCTTGTTTTTATGGACAAGTCTTTCCCTCATTTCATGGTAGAGCAGATTTAGCTGTGTTTTCTATTGTTTCCATAAAGAGCCTAAGTCTTTCAAAACAAGCACAGAATTTAATAATGGATGTGCATGCCTGAATACCAGTCTGCCATGTCAATTTCACATTATACGTATATTAGGTTTGAGTTTTACAGAAGCAGCATAGACACCCCAGAATATTCTTGAATAACCTAAGACAATCTGGTTCCAGCTTCCAACAGCAGCATTGGTGCCTATTTCCCGGAAACGAGCCTCATGAACTCTAATCATTCTTGTAAAATTTTTCATTGCAATGGCCATTCCTTCAGAGATAGCTTACAGGGGTTTCAGTAGCTTGGAGGTTCCACACTAGCACATGGGCAGCAAATGCTGTTGCCACAAAGGAATAAAACCCCACCTTGCATTTTGGTTACAACAACCTGAAAGAATCCTTGCAAATATCTCTGAGGGCTCTCCTTAATGTATATTTCACAGAATGTCATTTGAACATGTTGCTTCTGATATTCTTTCATTTGTAGTGGGCAGAAACAATAGCAGTCCTGACAAGGCTTAGCCCTTCCCAGCTGTCTCTTTTCTCCCTGTAAGTCAGACTTCTAATCAAAGCTGGCTGGTACTGGCGGGTGCCTATAAAACTCTCAGGTCTCCATGGAGCTGGAAAGTCACAAAAGCTGAAGAGGAACCGGATAGTAAGGGCTATTTCCCCTTCCTCGTTTGGACATCTCATCACTTTGGCTCTGGCTGCATTATTTAGGTGACAAACAGGGACTGAGGTTCCCATTTGAACCCCAGGTACATATTTAGGATCAAGATCTTGTCAGCGTTCTGTGTGGTCATGGGCTCCATTTAGTTTCTTTGACCCATTATCTTGTTTTTAAGTGTGAGTCATGACACAATACAGAATAGTGTGTACAATACAAAAAGTATAGCTCAGGTATCTATTATCAAGATTTCCCTATTAACCACTGCAAGAGAAACAAAACGAGACTTTTCTTTTCCCCCAAAGTGCCCTTCCTGCCCCTCTCAATAACCATAGGCATGGCTCCCTCCTGGGTAACCACCACCCGAGCTATTACTACAACTGCCTCTGTGTTTTTATTTGTGGTTTTTATCACCTAAGCACATATCAGTAAACACTGTCTTGCTTTGCTTTCCTTCAAGTTAAGCCTCTATATACACAGACCCACACAGAATGTTTCCATCTGTCTGGCTTCCTTCACGGAGCACGGTGGTTGGCATCTTTCCATCGGGGTGAAATTCATTCATTTCCATTTCACTTGGAATGTCAGCTTAGTTTTTCACTCTACAGTTGATAGACACTGAGTTTTCTACAGCTTAGGGCTATTATAAATAGCTCTGCCATGGGTACTCTTGTATATAACTCTGTGCCCACACATTTCTGTCCGGTGTAAATCTGAAGGTGAGCTACCTGGGTCGTAACATGACATGTGTGTACCTTCAAGCTTAGTAAATAATGACAGGGTTTTTCCAATGTGCCTGTATCAACAAGCCCTGTTGAGAGGGTTCTTAGTGTTCCAAATGCTCATCATGACTTTACAGCTGATGTGGTGAGGTCTCCTTCTGGTTTGGGTGGCTTTTCAAGTATCTGTCATTTGAATTTCCTCTTCTCCTCACCTCTCTGGGTTGTTCGTTTTTCTTATTCCTTGTAGGAGTTGTTTAAATATATAGACAAGGTGGCATGTGCCTATAGTGCCAGCTACTCCAAAGACTGAGATGAGAGGACCATTTGAACCCAGAAGTTCAAGATCAGCCTGGGCAATACAGTAAGAACCTGACTCAAACAAAAAAATCTGTGTGTTCAAACCTCTCCCCTCCCCCTCTGCAGTGTATTTGTACGGAAGACATTTCCAGTTTTACTGTAACAATGCCTTGTCATTTTTTTCCATTTTGTTTAGTACTTTCGTTGTCCTATTTATTAAGTTTTAATTTAACCTTTTGTTTAACCTGGTCATTTTCCTTAATTAAGCACTACTTGTTTTTCTTCCCCATACACAGTTAGTCTTCCTGAAATTGACCTTTATGTAGGGATCAAGTTCGTGAGTCTCTTTATTCTTGTTTTTAGGTGTTTGTCTGTGTAAGAACAGCACCTGGCTGTATTCTGGGAAAGACTACCCCTTCTTCATGGGGTCACTCACAGGACCCACTTCCTCTTCCTGGAAACTAAACTAGTCTACTCCTACAATGTCAATGTTTAGCCTAAGGACTGTGGCAGTATCAAGCCCATTTGCATGCTCTATGCTTACCTGGACTTGGGCACAGACTTCTAAAGTTGCGTGCAGTAAATGTTAACTTCCATGAGCCCACAGCTCTGCATTTGCATTGTGTTCAGTCTTTTATTCTGATCTCCCATCTGCAGCCATTTTCCCCCAGCCTGAAAAACCTCTCTCATTAGAGACGATGAGAGAGCAGCGTCGGGTCCGGAGAATTCCCTCAGTTTGTGCTTCCCTGAAAGCATTTCTCTCTAGCTCTGCTTCTTGAAGGATGCATTCACTGAGCACCAAGCTTTAGGTTGGCCTTTGCTTTGTCCCGTTGTCTCTTCATGAGCAACGATGCTGCTCCTTGCTCAGCCCTCAATTTCACCGCTGCATCTGTGGGCAATCTTGCCTGTTTAGAGATCGCTTCCTGTGATTTTTCTACAGTTTATCACACACCCAAGTGTGACGTTACCCTTATTCAGACTTCTGAGCATTCACAGAGTTCTTCCCACTCCTATTATACTTTCTGTTCCAGAAAGTTGCCAGGCTATTTCTCTAAACATTGTTCATCTCTCCCTCTCGCCCTCTTTCCCTTCTGGGACTACAGTTGGCTGGGTATTGGCCTTCCTCACTATCCAGTATGTTTCTCCCTCTTTTTTTCTCATTTTCCCTGGTATCACTTCATTCTGGATTTATACCCTTCAGCAATTCTTTTCTCAATTCTAAAAAGTTTGCTGTCACTCTCATCCTCTAAATTCTGAATTTTTCTTACTGCATTTTCATTTTTCCATGTTAAAAATTTTATTAAACTACCAGCTAATGCAAACTTATTTTTACCATAAATGTATGAACTTCTACAAGACAGGCTGAGTAACTGTAGGTAATAATTTGAAATGCATTTTTCATATAAATGCAGAATTTATAATATAGAAGCAGCTATATTACTCATTTACAATGAATTATTTTTGCATGGATCTACATGACAAAAAAAATTTACAGAAAGTCATTGTTGGGCCTAGATGATGAAAAAAATTACAGAAAATATTTGATGAACTACAGACCATGAAGTCAGAAGTATACACTTATCTTCTAACAGGAGGGACAAGTATCAAGTAAATTCTTCACAACTATACGTTAAATATAAACAACATTTGATGTTTTGAAGTCACATGGAAAATGCAACCATTGCTAATAACTATAATAGTAATAATAAAATAAGCTAGCATTTATCAAATGGCTGTTCTAAACTTGGAGTGGTCCTAAGGACCACACATGGACAATTTCATTTAATTTAATACTTCCGATACTTACTAATGCATATAGAAATGTCTACACAGAGATGGAAGCATAAGTATTCCTTCTTTTATCAGATACCATAATAAAATATTAAGATAACTTTTTGTTGTTGCTGCTGCTCCTATTATTTTGTTCTCTGTGCCACTAGGAGCTTGCTACTTTCTGTAAAATGCAAATTTTGTATTCATGCTGTTTTTGTGTTCCAAATTAAATTTGATAAGAACCTATAGAAAAGAAATGAAAAATATTACAGTTGACATTTGTATATTTTCTTCTTAAAGTTCAGCATACTATTTTTCAATATTTTGTTTTGTTGTTTTTCTGTTTGGGGCTTTTGGCTTACATTGGGCTATCTTCTCTCTAGTCTTCATTTTCTTCCTACCCTTAATGTATCTCTTCTTTTTCTTCTTCCTTTTTTGTCTCCTTAATCTCCATTTTTCATCCCCAGTTTTGATTTCTTCCTCTGTTGAAAACCTTTTACTATCAAATAGCATCTGTTTTATCAATAAGACATTTGGAAATTGAGTATATTATCAGCACAATTATAGCAGGTAGCATGAAACACGACATTCTCAGTAAAAATAAGTACATACAGTGGACCACACACAGGTGGGCAGGGCACTTCCCAAGATGGATCCCAAAGTTGGTAATATGTGGCTTGGTCAAGATCTGCATTACACCCCAGCTCCCAGTCTGGTAGCAATCATGGAGGCATTGGAAATGGCAAGCAAGACGAAACCCACACCAAAACTCTGAAGAGATTCTTCACCACTTGCTTGACCTGTGGCTTCAAGACTTCAGGCCAAGCTCCTTTGCTTTCCTCTTCAGCATATCCGTCTGCTTGCTGCTTTGGCCCTGGTGCATAATTGCACCTGAAGAGTGCCATGTGTCTAATACTTCCAGATCTTGAGCATGGAGTAACAGTGCCGGCAGCTTTGTAGGAATTGCCCCCAAGCAAGTTGAATGTAACGAGAACAGTCATCGATGCAAGTGTCATTTTGAAAAGTATATTTTTCCTTCTTTGCACCAACTCCTGATAGTTATACTTGCAATAAATTCATTTTCAGGACTAAGCCACATGTTTTCTCCAATACCATTGAATAAAGGGTGGGATCATGTACTTTTTCTAATGAGTATTACACCAATACACATATTTCTTTTCATGCTCTAGCGGTTGTGATAAAGCTACATCCCAAGTTCACTGATAGTCTACTTCTCTTTGTTGGCCTTCAAACCAGAGGCCTTCAGAAGCCACAACTCTCACAGTCACAGCTTCCACGTGCCCCCTAGTGTCTGGGGATGAG